GATGACAGCAGCGTTTCCAGTGATCCGGCTGTGCAAGCTGCAGGTTTTTTTGCGCATACGAATCAGTTGTATTTCACTTAAGACGTAATTAATGCTTCCACTGACGAATGCTGCAGTGATAATGGGAATTTCGGTCGTCATGAAGTGGTCAATGTCCAGGCGGCAGATAGCCATGTTGAGTCGGACAGTGGTAATAGTTATTGCTTTCGAAAAATTTATTCTTTCAGATGCCACATTGCCAACGACAGAAGAATGGAGTCTTTCAGATAGGACGAACGAAGCAATCTTGAGGATGGTGGTGACGGAGACAAAGATCACACTCCCGGACGCCAACAAGATACTCGGCATTTCTAGGGAGATACTTTCCCAGTTGTCAAGTGATGTCAGGGGAGTGTTGCGACAGTCTGGTAAGTGTCCTGCTGGGTTTTTAGTTATAAGTGTTTATTATCACATAGGCCTATAAACTAATCTTATAAGATACGTGGCCTCTTTGTTGAATACAGAAACTTTCAACACTGCCTACTTGCATCTGAATTTTTATGGCCTATCCGCCTTCGAAAGCTCAAATCAACAATTGTGACTAATCTTAGGCAGGATAGTTTATCCAAGAACAAATGACGTCTTCCTGATAGGCATTTACGGTGGGATTAGCAAACCAGTAGATTTCAATGAGTTTACTGGTGAACTATTCGCCGAGTTGCAGGTTTCAAACTGGGATAAACTGTACACAACGTCAAGAGATATGTGTGCTAAGGTTAGGTTGGTTGCAGTTGTTTGCATACAGCTTTAATGCGCTTAGGCAAGTTATCATTTCTTTCGAGGCAGATATCAGTAGAGACATATAATAGTGAGGCTATGTGCAGGTGTGTGCCTTCTGACTGGCAGTAATAAGTAGGGTTTATAGGCTGAAGGTGTTGACGTTCACGGATATTACGACGTATACTGATGCAAGAGTTTACACCCACAACTCCTATAGTATTTGTTCCGCATAGGCCAAAGACGGTGGCACAGTGGTTAGGACTCTCGCCGACCATGCACATGGTCCGGGGTTCGAGCCCCTGCCGGCGCACAACCGATATCTATGGCCGGCCTGCAAAATTTGGGCTACCGATATCCATGCTGAAAATGTCATACTTCTACTGAAAAATACGGTGTGGCATCAAGCTGTAATCAAAAATAAAAAAATCTCTGGGTCCTTATTTTCTATCAAAAGCCTGAGACTCATAGAATACCTGCTATGGTATCAGGACAGATTAATGTATATCAACCACTGCGTGTAGTCAACTTACAACCTTAAAATAAAAAACACATAAAATATCAAACATTTAAGGCTACTAAAATAAGAAAAGTTATTTCTGTGCATAATTTCTTTAAGTGCATGCCTTTCTTCTTAATAATTCCTCTGGGATATCAAGACACTCTTCACTCTTATGTAATACGAGAAAATATAACTCATTTCAACTACAGAAGCGACAATAAATAGAATAAGGCATTTTTCACAAAAACAGATATATAATGACTATATCAGCATGACCATGATAACCCATGCTATCTGAGAAAGTACATTGCGATAGCCTTTACCCACACCCTGTGCTCAAGGGTGACCTGGTTAAAATTCCTCACCAGGGTGCTCCTTCATCATTGTTTTACTTGTTAAGTTTAAGCAGATTCATTTTCGACATATTTTAGTTCAACAAAATATAAGTCAAAAATTGATCACTCTTATTTTGTGTTTATCATGGGAAAGGCTATCCATGAAAAGACTTAATAGTCATCAATCTACATCAAGCACACCCTTGGACCACGAAACTGTAAACTACCGGATTATTTGAAGTTATCGCTACAGTTAGCGATAACATGTGAAGGTGTGTATTCTATGTTTAGTTTCTTAATGTATGCACCATAATTCTCCGAATTCTATCTGTATCTTTATTTAAATCGTGAATTTATAAGCACATAAAGTGTACTCCGCATTTCTGTACAATAATTGCCATTTATGCATCAAAAGCTGCCGTTGGTTTCCCAGTACCAATAAAAACTGTACCTAACGTAACTATATTTTCGGGTATTCAGCGGGTTTTCCGGGTATTGCAGTGCCTTGGTGGATGAAGTGGAAAAATCGCAAATTAACACGCCAACAGTCCCAACGAAGCGTAGACCGTTTCAAAAATATATATATGGTCCAAATGGTCTGAATAATAATTCTGAATAATTATCGGGAATTATTCAGACTTGCTTTGTGTTTAGTTTCAAGAATTAGTTAGACTCTGAATTCAAAAAACTCCAATATATCGTGGAATCAGGCTGCTAAAACTAAATCTTCCATAGTTTGCTTCACCATCACTTCAATCACATCGTTCAACTTAAAAGTAACTTCTATGGTTTCATGTCTCATTCATTATTGTGTTAGAATAATGCTTTCTCTGATGCGAACAGTTGTCTAAACGAAGTGTCTAGAGAAAACACTTTCAGTCCTCAAAAGTGTCATCGCTCTACATTGCACCGAAGAGGTAGAAAATAAGGGAACGAGTTTTGAGAGAAAGTGGACTTGACAGATTTTTTGATGACAGCAGCGTTTCCAGTGATCCGGCTGTGCAAGCTGCAGGTTTTTTTGCGCATACGAATCAGTTGTATTTCACTTAAGACGTAATTAATGCTTCCACTGACGAATGCTGCAGTGATAATGGGAATTTCGGTCGTCATGAAGTGGTCAATGTCCAGGCGGCAGATAGCCATGTTGAGTCGGACAGTGGTAATAGTTATTGCTTTCGAAAAATTTATTCTTTCAGATGCCACATTGCCAACGACAGAAGAATGGAGTCTTTCAGATAGGACGAACGAAGCAATCTTGAGGATGGTGGTGACGGAGACAAAGATCACACTCCCGGACGCCAACAAGATACTCGGCATTTCTAGGGAGATACTTTCCCAGTTGTCAAGTGATGTCAGGGGAGTGTTGCGACAGTCTGGTAAGTGTCCTGCTAGGTTTTAAGTTATAAGTGTTTATTATCACATAGGCCTATAAACTAATCTTATAAGATACGTGGCCTCTTTGTTGAATACAGAAACTTTCAACACTGCCTACTTGCATCTGAATTTTTATGGCCTATCCGCCTTCGAAAGCTCAAATCAACAATTGTGACTAATCTTAGGCAGGATAGTTTATCCAAGAACAAATGACGTCTTCCTGATAGGCATTTACGGTGGGATTAGCAAACCAGTAGATTTCAATGAGTTTACTGGTGAACTATTCGCCGAGTTGCAGGTTTCAAACTGGGATAAACTGTACACAACGTCAAGAGATATGTGTGCTAAGGTTAGGTTGGTTGCAGTTGTTTGCATACAGCTTTAATGCGCTTAGGCAAGTTATCATTTCTTTCGAGGCAGATATCAGTAGAGACATATAATAGTGAGGCTATGTGCAGGTGTGTGCCTTCTGACTGGCAGTAATAAGTAGGGTTTATAGGCTGAAGGTGTTGACGTTCACGGATATTACGACGTATACTGATGCAAGAGTTTACACCCACAACTCCTATAGTATTTGTTCCGCATAGGCCAAAGACGGTGGCACAGTGGTTAGGACTCTCGCCGACCATGCACATGGTCCGGGGTTCGAGCCCCTGCCGGCGCACAACCGATATCTATGGCCGGCCTGCAAAATTTGGGCTACCGATATCCATGCTGGAAATGTCATACTTCTACTGAAAAATACGGTGTGGCATCAAGCTGTAATCAAAAATAAAAAAATCTCTGGGTCCTTATTTTCTATCAAAAGCCTGAGACTCATAGAATACCTGCTATGGTATCAGGACAGATTAATGTATATTAACCACTGCGTGTAGTCAACTTACAACCTTAAAATAAAAAACACATAAAATATCAAACATTTAAGGCTACTAAAATAAGAAAAGTTATTTCTGTGCATAATTTCTTTAAGTGCATGCCTTTCTTCTTAATAATTCCTCTGGGATATCAAGACACTCTTCACTCTTATGTAATACGAGAAAATATAACTCATTTCAACTACAGAAGCGACAATAAATAGAATAAGGCATTTTTCACAAAAACAGATATATAATGACTATATCAGCATGACCATGATAACCCATGCTGTCTGAGAAAGTACATTGCGATAGCCTTTACCCACACCCTGTGCTCAAGGATGACCTGGTTAAAATTCCTCACCAGGGTGCTCCTTCATCATTGTTTTACTTGTTAAGTTTAAGCAGATTCATTTTCGACATATTTTAGTTCAACAAAATATAAGTCAAAAATTGATCACTCTTATTTTGTGTTTATCATGGGAAAGGCTATCCATGAAAAGACTTAATAGTCATCAATCTACATCAAGCACACCCTTGGACCACGAAACTGTAAACTACCGGATTATTTG